AAAAAAAAAAATACAAACCTCAATAAAATATCCAGTGCCAACATCTACCAAAACCTTATCAGCATCATCTAGGGTCCCCGGCACATATAAAGACGCTGTTAAAGGCACCAACATTTTCTTCCCTGCACAAGAAAAAACCCAGGAAAAAAAACCCAAATCACAAATTTCACGATAAAGTCAAAAAAAGATCACATTTTTACACCTAATTCTCAAAAGGGTGTTTATACCTTGAGGGCGGAGAGATAAATCTTGAAGGGCATTAGAGGCGATTTCGAGGCGAGTAGTTGCAGTGCGGATGTTGTTGAGGCTGTCTTGAAGTAGGTTCACTTCTAGATCGGCTTGTTCCTTCAGTGCCTTTAGTTGCTCTACGCTCATCTTCTCTATTTCCAGTGTTCTTCCTCCTCCTGACGCCATTTCCTGATTTCCCCCTTTCAGAAACCCTTCTCTGGTGTTAACTGTGCTTCTCAAGTCTTGAGAACAGCAAGTAGTGTTTACAGGCTGCGTGCTCTGTTTGTCATAGATTTATGATGGGTTAAATGGGTATTAAAACATGAGTTGAATGAGTTTTATTATTAAAAAATATATTTTTTTCATATGACATGGTTTGTCAAATAGGTTTTTTTATTTTTTGAGTCAAAAAGTAATAGGAATGGTTTTGTGGGTTATTACAAATTTATTTTTAGTTTTATGATTCTATTACTTTTTAGATATATAAGGAAATTTATTTTTACAGTTAAAAGATCTTATCTATCTAAAAAGATACTTCCCTAATTTCTAATATTGTAAATGACCATGAAAGACCCATTTTCTCGAGTAATAGTTGAATGATTTTGTTGTCCCATATTAAATAAAAATAATTTGATAGAATATTGCTATAAATTAAGTGACTATCCAAGGAATTAATGGGTCAAATGATTTTGTGGTCATTACAAACTTATTTTTAGTTTTATGACACCATCTATTTTTTTTATACATAAGATATTTGTTTTTACACATAAACGATTTATTTTTTACACATAAAAATGTAAGATAATTAATTTGCAGTCATAGCAGAGATTAAGACACAATTATATAATCAATCTAGAGTCAGAGTTTAAGAAAGTGTACCGTTCAACTCCATCGATTCAGCAACGACAGCAACCAGCGATTAAGCCTGAGACCAATTTCCACAATCCACTAGCTACACACTCTCACAATCCAGAGAACTTGACTGATGTGACATCTACCGTTACCACATATTCAAGAGGCAGAATACGCTAGGGTTTTCTAATAGCTAGCGAAAGGGGAGTTGGCCTCTATTTATAAAGAGTGTCTACCCATCACAGGTCAATAGTTATTGGACCTCACTTATCCACACACACAATATTTAATATTAGGCTTTTTATTTATCCACCACTTGGGTCACTTCACTATCCTTTCAGGCTATAACCAATTAACTTAAGTCCAAATTCCAACATTCTCCCACTTGGACGCTAACGTTAATTGAGGACAAGAAAATAATTTTAAAAATTTTGAGTTATAAGAAAATTATTTTGAGAAAAAAAAGATTTTAGACTCTACAATGGCCACACTACTCATATAGTCAAGGATATAATGACTCATATAACAATCCATCTAGTCTCAATAGAGAAGACTAACAATGAATCATAGCAGGCATCACACCATTTTAAGGTATGAATTCTATCTACGGTCATATATGCTAGAATTTCCATCATCATGGATCAACACATGTGTGCTAAGCATGTTATCTTTCTAATCAGGGTGAATCGATTCACACCTCTTAAAAAGAAATAATCCTCCAAGTGATATAATAACCATATCACATTAGGAGCCTCCAAATTAAATGACATTAAAATCATATCACCTTAGGAGATTTCCCTTGTGCCTTACCCGGGATAATCAAGGCAACAAGCAGCAAAACTCAAAGATATCATGAGTTTATACAATATATAATTGAAAATACAAATAAATAAATTATCATGTTAGTCAATAAGCATAAGAAATATAAAATAACACAAGCTTGCATAAAATTAAAATTTATTAAAAGTAATATCTCAGTCAGCAGCTACGAAATAACTCCCACTGACTAAAGCATATCAAAAGACTCTAAAAACTCATGTTTTTAGTATGTTCATTAAATACTACATGCCTAAAACATTCAGTCAAAGGATCGACCAACATAGATTCTGTGCTAATATGCTCAATACATATATCACCTTTTTTTACTATGTCTCTAACCTTAAGAAACTTAAGGCTAACATGCTTAGAGCCTCTTGTTCTCTTGTTATTCTTACAGAAGAACACAGTTGCACTGTTGTCACAAAATAATCACTGGCTTAGATATAAAATTCACAATTTACGAACAGCATGCGAAGCACTCTCAAAACAAGCAATAAACTCAGCTTCATTGTAGATGTAGCAGTGATGCTCTGTTTCTCACTTTTCCAAGAAATAGCACCTCCACCCAACATAAAAATATACCTAGAAGTTGATTTCATAGTGTCTTGACAACCTGCAAAATCAGAATCTGAATATACTAGAAGATCCAGATCATCAACTTTTTTGTACACAAGTATGACGTCTTTGGTGTGTTGTAGATATCTCATCACTTTCTTTGCAACCACCCAATGTGCCCACCCAGGATTAGAAGAAAATCTTCCCACATGCTAATAGCAAATGCAATATATCAGGACTTGTACAAACTTGTATGTATATCAAACAACCAACAACACTTGCATATGGAACATCTTTCATGGTTCTCATTTCAACTTCATTTTTCGGACATTGATCTTTACTAAGTTTATCCCCTTTTACAACAGGTGCAACACCAGGTCAACAGTCTTGCATATTGAAAGTTTTAAGAAAATTCTTAATGTAGGAACGCTGCGATAAACCCAATAAACCACGTGACCTATCTCTTTTAATTTCTATCTCAATAACAAAAGAGACTTCACCAAGATCTTTCATATCAAAAGACCCAGACAAAATTGTTCGGTCTCATTCATCAAGCCCAAATAATTTGTGGCAAGCAGAATATCATCAACATAGAGAACCATAATAATGAAACTACCATTAGCAATTTTAAGATAAACACATTCATCAAGTTTATTTTCCACAAATCTAAATTTTGTAATAATTTCATCAAATTTCAAGTACCATTGCCTGGAGGCTTGTTTAAGCCCATATATAGATTTGTTAAGCTTGCACACTAGACGTTATTTACCAGCTTCTTTAAATCCTTCAGGTTAAACCATATAAGCTTCTTCAAGCAGATTCTCATTCAGGAAAGCACTTTTAACATCCATCTGGTGCAACTCTAAATCAAAATGAGCCACAAGAGCCATCACAACTCTAAATGCATCCTTGGATGAAATAGGAGAAAATGTTTCTTTATAGTCAATATATTCTTTCTGAGTTTAACCCTTAGCAACCAACCTTATAATGGTCTATGTTTCCCTTGGAGTCTCTATTTGTTTTAAACACCCATTTGCAACCAATAGGCTTAAAAACTACAGGCAATTCAACTAACTCTCACACTTTATTATGTTCCATAGAGCGCATTCATCTTTCATTGCTTCACGTCATTTATCAACATATGAAGAGGAAATAACTTGAGCATATGATAAAGGATCAGTCAATTCTCCAGTATCACTAAGATTTTTAGTCATATACACGATAAAATCATCAGAGATGACAGATCTTCTTTCTCTTTATGACCTGCGGAGTGGTTTATTGTGTATATTTTGCTCAGGAACTATGGGATCAGCGACATTGTTCCCTTGATTCTCCCCCTTATGAATAGGTTGGTCTACCACCTTTTCATGTACAACAGGTACAAGGACAATGACTTCCTACTTTTTCAATACAATTTCCTTACCACATGAACAATCACAATCACAAACATCATGCTCAAAATTTTTTGCATTAATAGACTCGACGATTCTAGTGCCACGCCCAGGACAGAAAGACCTAAAACCTTTATAGTGATCAGGATAGCCTATAAGAAACAACAGGTAGTTTTAGGATCAGTTTTCTTTTCTGTGGGTGAATAAATACAAACTTCAGCTGGACATCCCCAAATGTAAAAATGATTCAAGCTAGGTTTTCGGGTTGTCCATAGTTCAGAGGGAGTTTTTAAGACAGATTTTGTAGGAACTCTATTCATGATATAGCTAGCTGTTTTTAAGGCTTCACTCCAAAGATACTTAGGTAGCCTAGTCCTTAACATCATACTTCTCACCATTTCCATGAGAGTACGATTCCGTCTTTCAGCCATACCATTCTGCTCAGGAGTACCTGGCATGGTATATTGTGCTACTATCCCACATTCTTGCAAAAATAAAGCAACATACCCTATACATTGACCAGACTCATCATATTTTTCATAGTACTCACCACCACAGTCAGACTTTACTATCTTAAGGGACTTCGTAATCTATTTTTCAACTTCAGTCTTGTAAATTTTAAACTTATCAAGTGCTTCAAATTTTTCTTTTAAAAGATTTATATAACAGTATCTTGAAAAGTCATCAATAAAAGTAATAAAATACTTCTGATTGGTGAAAATAGGTACATAAGGTCCACTAATATCAGTATGAATAATTTCTAATAGTTCAGAGCACATAGTGGAACCTTTTCTCTTAACCTTGGTCATTTTACCCTTAACACAATCCACATAAGTTTCAAAATCTTTTAGATCAAGAACAGGTAAAATATTTTTTTAATCAAGCGTTCAATTCTTTCTTTAGAAATATGACCAAGACGTCTATGCCATAAAAGGTAAGACGTTTTACTCATAGCAGACTTTTTGTGGGCAATATTTTCAATATGCATTGCAGAAAAAGTTTCATTCAATACACTCAAGCGATATAGACCATCACTTAAAAAGACATCAGCAACAACATGTAAATCATAGGAAATTTTAATAATACCACTATTATGTTGAAATGAATAATCAGCTTTGTCCAAAAGGGAAACCAAAACTAATTTTCGTCTTATAGACGGTACAAAAATAGTATTTTCTAAATAAATACTAGATTTATTTTTAAAAGGTAAAATAGATGTCCCTATAAAATCTTCTTTTGCTTTGAGTCCATTGCCCACAACAACACTGACTTCATCATCTTTTGGCTTTCGTCTTCTTATTAGATCCTGCAAGTCATTGGTTACATGAACAATTGCACCACTATCCAACCACCAGGAATTCAAAGGAACATGAACAAGACTAGTTTCAAAGAAGACAAAAGCCAAAAGATTACCTGATTTCTTTTTCAGAGGACAACCATCTTTCTTGTGACCTACTTGTTTGCAATCCTAACATTTGATTTCTTTCTTAATTACAACTTGAGGACCAAGAGGATTATGAGACTAACCTTGGTTAACACCAGGCTTATTAGTATGACCACTGTTATCACCTGAATGATAAGACTGGCCATGTTTCTTTTTGTGAAATTTGAGTCCACATTTTCTTTTTATAAGATGGATGTCACACCTCCTTTTGTGCGCCCAGCCCCGAAGGG